AGCAGACACTCAAGTTTTCTCAGCATTTAAGCATCTGTGCTGCCTGTATTTTATTGTTCGGCTTTAACACACACACACACACACACATATATATATAATAGCATACTATCAGTTGCAGAAGAACGAGCTCATAAACGTCACCATAAAAAGAAACAGTTATGCATCTTGATGGAAAAAACCCAATAAATAATTCGTCCACTACGGAGATCATGATTTCACGATGCTTTGTTCCGTTGGCTTCGCTATAAAACCTTCTTGAGTTTAATGAGACTGTTTGGTCTGTTTTATAGTTTTAAAGCCAGTTTTCATTGGGGTTGATAATCTACACTCTATGAATGAGCTCATTCTGATATGAAGGTTTTTCCAATGTTGTGGGAAAATCATAAAATCTCTTGGGTACTCTCTGAATTCCTTTATTTAGATCTGACTGTGGCTGAACCCAGAGCCACCATCTGTCCTCCTGCGTGCCAGGAGAGGTCGTACTGTTCAAACATCGCCCCTGCTGTTATCAAAGAGCTCTGCAGTGCAAGGCAAAGTCCAGATTTAATCTGTAACAGAGTGAGAGTCCAGTCCTTCACTCATCACTAACCAAACCAAACTGAGTAAAATATGCACTCTGCATGTTTTCAGAAAACATTTTGTTTATTTCGTAAATGGATAAATTGAAAAGCCACAGTGGTGAAATGTTCCTTCTAGTGTTTGGGAATGAATAAATAAAGCTTTGCAGCTTTTCTTTTTCATATTCAATCCATGTTTTTTCTTTATTTAAGAGTGTGGTCTTTGAAGACAGGATTCATGGACTTTACGTTCGGATTTTGCTTTCACTCAAAACCCTGCGCTCGTACTCAATCTATGCTTGTGCTCACATTATGCCTGCATTTGGATGTTCTGTTGCTTGGACAGATTTCCTGCTTCAGATCTTGTCCTTGTTCTCACATTCTGTGCAAGTGACGCGTCTGCTCTCGGATTCCTCCTCTGCTCAAAACAAGTGAGTCAACAAATAAACAAATGGCGACCAATAGAATGCCAGGTGTAGAGTGTTGACAAATGAAATAATCCCCCACTCATTGTGTGTGTGTTAGCTTTACTCCCCTGAGATCCCACGTGGGCGGTTACGTTAACTCTCAAAGAAGTAAAGCTAACACACACACACCAACATTGAGTGCAAGAGATTTGTCTCAGCAACAAAATATTTGAGTCTAAGCACCAGTTTAAGCACAAGCCTGGGACTATGTGAGTGAGAGCGCATAGTTTTGAGTGAAAGCATGAAATGAACGAGCCTCGCTCTCAAAGTGACAATAATGACAGAAATAACTGGACATTTTGATTCATGTTGATAAAACCCTTTCTTGTTATATTAATAAAAAATGAATGAACTAAAATAAAAGGTTTCAAATTCAAGCACCAAATCACAACAATAAGGTCAAGACCTTAAAATGTACAGAGGAACCCAACAGTCCCAACAATATAAAAATGGAGCTATTGTCCCTCATCCCGTCCTGTGTCCCCCTCAGCTCCTTCCTCCTCCTCCCCTCTCCTCCTCCTCCATCTCCCCTCCAGAGCGCGGAGGCTCCAGATGGTCGAGCACCAGCGGCAGACGGGGGACCATCGGGGGGCACAGAGGCCTGACAGCAGGGAGCCACGTGTGACCCGGGCCAGACAGCTCTTTAGCACAAAATTAGCCCGGGATGAACGCATAACACATAATTACATGCTGGTAATACCATCAAAGAGGGATCTGGGCGTCAGTGGCCTCTGCAGCTTCAGTTGCCCTAATTCATAAAATGTCACAGTCCTGTCAGACGAGCTGGATGTTAAACATTAAACGAGCTGCTGCAGAGTGAAGCCCTCAGTTCTCGTGTTCAGGAGATAATATGAGTTGATACTGAACATGCAAATGTCAGATTTCAGCACATCTGACCATGGAGGAGGCTGCAGGACATAATGAGGGTGGAGTTACTCAGGTGTTTGTTGTTATGTTTGTTACTTATGTATTGATGCACAATTCTGTTAGGGATTATGACATAGACAAGGCACAAACATATAAAATAAATATGTGTAATGGGGCTCAGTATCCTGCTCAAGAACACTTCAGTATCTTATATTGAGCTCTATTAATTTATTATTTATTATTTTTCTATGACACTTCGGAATATGGATCGGAGGAGCTGGGGATCGAACCACTGACTGTCCATCATGGACAACCCTCTTTACGTCCTGATCAACTGCTTCCAAACCTTGGAATGGGGCTGGTTTGCCTATATGCATGTGTAAAGTGGATATCTAGTTGAAATCTCATAGAAAAATCAATTCAAATATATATAAGATACAAGAGACATTATATTTTACACATAACATAGTCAACAAAAATATAAAAAAATAAAAATTGCCACTTAAGTCAGTATGTTCCACTCTGGGAAAATAAGATTTGAAAACAGGTTGTGATCACAGTGAGAGTTCACTCTCAACCACAAGAGGTCACTACTGATTTGAATATGATGCTTTGTCATAAACATCAAGTGGATTTTAATGTTTATGTTGAATTGCTTGAAATTAATTAATGAATTAATCCGCTGTGATAAAACAACGTCCAAATTCATGTCAGTTATCAGATCACAGTTTTGTGGTGTTTTTAAACTGGCACCTGAATGCAACACATTACATTTCTAGATTTCTAGTCCCAAATCACTGACGCACAGTTATAAAAACAAAGATCTAGAAATAACACGCATGCACGAAAGCTTTTCCATCTGTTGATCTGAGAGCAGCTGAGATGCAGATGATGTTTGCACGTATCTGCTGTAGTTTGCACTTCAGATGCAGCTGAAAGTAAAAAATGTGAATTGAGTGAATTAAGAGAGGTGGAGAATGAATCATGTTTTCTTCTGTATTTCTCTTATAATGATGAGATAAGTGAATTTATATTACATGTTCAGATTCTTTAAATGTTCTTCTGCACTGTTTAATTTGAATTTTTGGTAAAATCTATGAAAAAAATGTCAGGATGGTTCAATTGTTTAGTTTTGTTATTGACTCTGGTTTCTATGTTTCTCATTTTTATTTTTCCAGATAATGATGTGCATGACATTAATAAAAATCAATCAATCATATTTTATAAATAAAACAAAACACATGTAGAAGAACCTTTTTTATTGTGGGTTTTTCCTCTTGGAGTAAAACTTCTAATACATTTTGTCTCTAGGGAAATTAAATTATGATTAGCTCAGTTACAAATGGAAATAAAAAGAAATCTGACTCACAAGCCAAATATGATGTTGTATAAGTTTGTTAAATGGCTCCTTGTTTCCTCCCTGAGCACATCTGTCCCAGTTAAACAGCCACTGGTGGAGGTGGAGGTGACCTTTGACCTTCCCTACTTCACTGCAGTTACTTGTAATTTCATTGAATGTCTGAAGATCTGTGCAATAACATTTGCTAAATGTCTAAAATGCAAAGTCTACAATCGTCCTCTTCACCAAAAATAATCCATTTAACATGTTTCATTATCCAAGTGTGATCACACGTTTCCTCTGCTCCACCTTCTGTGGGAAGTGTCCATATTCTCCAGGAGTTGGAGCAGTTGAATTCGTGGTGGCAGCTGCTGAGGCTGTGGTGAGCGGCCCTGCGAGCGCTCCAGCTGTGCTCCGGGCTAAAATAGACTCCCAGCTGCAGGCCGGCTCTAGGTGGTGGAGGGAGCCCATTTAGAAGGTGCCTCTGTAAACCGCACACACGCTTCCACATACTTGACATTCAGTGGTTCTCCTCTCGTTTGTTGTTCTCTCTGAACCCAGCATGTGTTCCAGCCTCTCTGGGCCTCATGGGCTCGTTCGGTCGGAGGTCGAGAGCAGGGACGTCTAAGTGTATCTCACTTATTTACTCAACTTCTCAACTCTGAGATGATCTTCTGACTCTCCTGTAGATCGTCCTCGTCTACAGAGGTCTGTGTTGTTCTGTGCAGACGTGTTCGGTGGCCCGGGTCCATCCATGTGCCCGGACAGCTGCTCTGAGAAGCTCCCCACGTGGATTTAGACTGGTTTTCATTTGTGGCGTCGTTGGCTCACTGTCAGATCAGGTGGGACGAGTTACAGGAATAAGTTAGACGCAGGTGCTGGAGAAGCCCTGAGGCTTTTATCACTGGATGATGCTGTGTCATTAAGAAACACACATATATATCACTGCTTCAGAAAAGGAAACGTAGAGAAGAAATATATATATAACTCATAACAGCTGCATTACAGATGTGTGAAGGAATTAATGACTGAGTCTAAATCTGAACTCAAACTCTGGTTTTAATATCTTATTATTTTCTTCCATGTTTGATTCCATCCTCACCTCAGGACCCACTGTGCCCCCCCCTGCTCCCCTGATGCATTCAGGGCTGCTCGTAAAATCCACCTTCAGAAGTCACAAGCCCCAGATGTGATTTCCCAGCATTTCAGCCCCTTTGTTAGAAAAGTGTATCCAACACTTTGGCATAATTTTTAAATT